TATCTAAGGTGTTTTCAGTCTATTGACCTGAGGCCCTTCTGAGATGGGGTAGCAGCACGAGGGGTGGGGCCTGGGTGAGTTCCCTTGGCCCAGCTGCTGCAGCACGGAGACCTCACAGCAGACCCTTCCCTTGCAGAGTAGTAAGTCTTTCGCTAAAGGCCAAGGGTTTGAGCAGATTTCTCCGTGGTTCCTGAGCCAGCACCATGAGCTTTCTCTGGATTTCCCCCAATCTTCCTTACAAGAGCCAGTGGGCCTCTGAGAGGAAAAGCTTGCAAAGGGTAGAAGCTCCTCCTCCAGGAGCTTCAAATTCTCAAGCAGGCCCAGGGCTTGGCCACATTTTATAGGTCAGCCTTCCTTTCTACTCCATGGCATCTGATGGCTTCTGCTCCCATAAGCAGAAGCTCAGGTAATGTCCTGTGTCTCAAAGGAAGTAATCTGTCTCTCCAGGGTTTTGTCCATTGTGGGGCTTGAACTCAGGGCCTGGGCCACTGTCCCTGAGCTTTTTTGCTCAAGTCTAGTGCTCTACCACTTTGAGTCACAGCTCCACTTCTGGTTATCAGGTGGTTAATTGGAAATAAAAGTCTCACGGACTCTCTTGCGCAGGCTGGCTTCGAACTGTGATCCTCCGATCTAAGCCTCTTGGGCAGCTAGAGTGAGCCATCAGCACTCGGCTTCTCTCCATGTTTTGAAATGACCATTTGCTCTGCAAACTCAAATCTTTCCATTTCCAGTCTGCCCAGGACTTTCCTCCTTGTCCGTAAGCCTGAGGAGACATTTCTTGCAACTCTTCATATATCAGAGCTAAAACTGGAAGCCATACTCATTGTGTTTTGAGCCAGATGCTGGTGGTTCATTCCTGTAAGCCTGGTGACTCAGAAGGCCGAGACCTGGAGGGCTGCAGTCCAAAGCCAGTTGGGGCAAAAAATTTAAAAAAAAAAAAGGCCACAATATTCTTACCTCCAATTAATCAGCCAATACTATGGCCTGGGGGCTCAAGTGGTAGAATACCAGCCATGAGCAAGCCAAGTGAACAAGAGGCCCTGAGTTCAAACTCTAGTACTGCCAAAAACAATCCCAAACAAGTCAGTTTCATTTCAACATAAGATGTTGGCATAGTTTCTGGATAGCACACATGCTTTGCCAAACCTGAGAAGGAGTTATAAATTATTCTACACCCAACTTCGTGGGAATTGGGTCCCTCCTGACAATGATCCTCAAAGTTGAGTGGCAAAAGATTCACTGGAGAACCCAGGTGGCTGGGTTCTTCAGAGCTTCTGATTTATGAGGTCTAGGGCAGGACCCAGTTTTTTCGTCTACCAAGTTCTCCAACAGTGATGCCAACAAGGCTCTTCCGGGAATCATGTTCCAAGAATCAGTGGCCAGTGGAGTGTCTTGGAGGCTCAAGGCTAATTTCCACGTCTCACTTATTCATCAGTTGGAGGACAGATGGTGAGCCGGGAGAAGCAGCAATTAAGTTCTCAGCTGACATCAATAAAAGTGTCAGCAATTTTTTTTTCTCCAGAACGATTATTAGAGAAAAAAAATGTTTTATGGTTTACACCAGAGACAGTCACAGTTTTGTAATTGTGAACGAGTCTTTGAAAGAAGGATGTGCAGATGATGTGAACATGATTTCAAAAGCCACGGTGGGGCCAGTAGTAGTTTCTTGAGGGTCCAGGTATTGGTGGAGACTCAAGAACAAGTGCCTTTGAAGGCTTAGCTCATGTTCCTCTTGCTGGGTGTCCTCATTTGTTTTCTGCTAGTTTTAGTAAAGGTAAAACTAGGTTGGTTAAATTTTACAATGAATTCCATTCGGCATCAGTGCTAATGAGCAATGTATCTCTTATGCACCACATGATTACTGTCACTATCTTAGATATTGGGGAAAGAAAATAAAGTCACCTGTATGGTGTTTCATTCAAGGAAGAATAGGGAGGAGAGGAGGAAGGGACTGAGCCTATAAACAAACAAAGCCATGTAGCCTACTCATGAGGTGTAAGTAGGACTGTGGTATGAGTCCAGTTTTAGGCAAAAACCCTGAGACCTGGTCTGAAAAATAACTAAAAGAAAAAGAGGGATAGTGGGCATGGCTCAAGCAATAGAGCACCTGCCTAGAAAACATTAGGGAGATTCAGCCAGGCATTGGTGGCTCATGCCTGTAATCCTAGTTATTCTGGAGGCTGATATCTGAGGCTTGTGATTGGAAGCCAGCCTGAGCAGAAAAGTCTCCAAGACTCTCAGCTCCAATAACTATTCAGAAAAAGCCAGGAGGTGAACTGTGGCTCAAGTGGTAGAACACTAGCCTTGAGCACAAAGAGGCTCGGGGACAGCACCCAGGCCCAGAGTTCAAGCCACAGGACTGGCAAAAAAAAAAAAAAAAAAAGAGGGGGGACAGAGATTGGAAAGATTCTTGCCAACCAAAAAGCCCATCTTCAGGGGTTTTGAAATCTATCCTCTAATCCTCTATTACCTATTATTGTGAAGGTTAACACCCTCTGCTCCACTTTTTGTTGTTGTTGTTGCTAGTCATGAGGCTTGAACTCTGGGCCTGGGCGCTGTCCCTGTGCTCTTCAGCTCAAGGCGAGCGCTCTACCACTTGAGCCAAAGCACTACTTCCAGTTTTCTAGTGATTAATGGAGTCTCATAGACATTCTTGCCCAGGCTGGCTTTGAACTGCGATCCTCAGATCTCAGCCTCCTGAGTAGCTAGCATTACAGGTGTGAGCCATTGGAGCCCTGCTCTACCCACTTTAGTCTTCTTCATTCTCTCCCAGATTCTCAGCACCAGTGTTGCTATGTTGTTTTGTTCTATCTCCAGGCCTGAATCTCCCTTTGACATGTCTCCCTCTCTCAATCCTTGTCCTTTTCCACAACCCATACTCACTTTCTTCAAGGAGATTGCCCTGACTGAGAACAAATAAGTACCTCCTGGAACCAAGGCAGGGGGATGGGTGGGCATTTCACACAAGTGCCCAATCCCTGCTTATCTGTCTCTCTTGACCATTCAATGGGCAGAGCTTGAGCCTCAGCCAACTGTTTTTTCTCAGATCAGGTCTGAGAAATAATCATGAATGGGGAAGGGGGAGAAGGCGGTGGGGGAACTGTTCAATTTATCCTAAGACATCTTTGTTTTTCTTTAGGGGACTAACTCTGGAAAGATTACTGATTTCTTTGTGGGGTTTTTTTGTTGTTGTTGTTTTGTTGGGGCTTAAACTTTGGGCTTGGACACTGTCCCTCAGCTCTTCAGCTCAAGGCGAGTGCTCTACTACTTGAGCCACAGCATCACTTCTGGTTTTCTGGTGTTTTAATTGGAGATGAGAGTCTCACGGACTTTCCTGCCCCGGCTGGCTTCGAACTGTGATCCTCAGATCTCAGCCTCCTGAGTAGCTGGGATTACAGGTGTGAGCCACCGGTGCCCAGCTCCTTCGTGGTTTTTATATCTGGTTTTAGATGGCTTTATCAGCTTAGCTAGTTTAAACCTTGGCTTGTAAACTCCTTAAAACATTGTTTAATGAACAGAAATTGTAACGAAATTTTGTATTTCCAAGGCACCTTCCCATCATGGAGCTCAAGGCTTGCTAACAAATCTTGGTTTTCTGTAAAACAAGGAACATTCCAAAGGGGTAGACTGGATGGAGAAGCACTGAAGACTTGAGTGCTGCTTGTTGGATGCATAATTTAATTAAATGTGTCATCACTTAAAGAGAATGGCCCCATGAACTGGTTTGCCAGTAATTTAGCTATTCTTTTATTCTGTTCCTCACTTGTATCCTGGTGTTTTTTTCCTCAGAAAATTTTAGCTTTGAACTAGGAGATCACCTTGTTTTTGTTCTATTGTTTGGTTGAAATAAATGATCACCTATTGTTCCAACAAGAAAAAAAAAAAAGGACAGCCCATTTTGCTGTGAATTCCAAGTTCACAAACCCAAGTACACATGGCTGCTTGCAGAAAAGAGGCTGGGCCCATGACCACGTAAGTATTGGATGAGGCATGAAATAAACTCCCCTTTCAGAGACCTGTGCCTCCTTTGTAGATTCCCATAGGCATCATGGCATGGGAACAGAGCCTTAATGACTCTAGGGAGGGACAAACTAGGAATGACAGCAAGATTCATCCTCTTAAGAGCCTTGAATCTTTTTTTTTTCCTGAGTCTTATCATTCTTTACTCCAGTGACATCTATTTCTGGATAGGGAAGTGGGAAAGTTTTTGTTTTTGTGTTTTGCCTTGGCCCTTGGTAAGCTAAATTTAGGGAAAGCATCTTTGTCTCCAGTTTGGGTCCTAAGACCTCAGCTTTCCCTCTGCTGGATGCCACAAGCAGCCATGCTGAACACCTGTCACTCTTGCATGTGTTGCTTTGTACTGCTTCTCATTGTACAAAACCAAAAGCTTTATGCCAAGACCTCTTGGTACTGAAACATTCGGACATTAATTTGTGCAGAAATAACTAGAGGACTAAAGCCTAATCTAATACATTTTTTTAAAGAAAAGAGGACTATGATGACCTTAGGTTATAATACAAAAGCCTTTGTGGGACAGGGGGATTATTTTTATACAGGCCACAGCAACTATGGGCAAGAAATTATACACCCTGCAGTTTTTCCATCAAGGAGCTGCTTATAAGAAGAAATAAAACCCCACCAGACACACATGCGAGGAGATACAGGATGTTCTTATGGGAAAAGGCAAATCAAGTACTTGAAAGTGCTGCCTTGAGGGCTGTGTAGGAATAAAAGTGGCTTTACACAACCATTTGAATAATGATAATTTAATGGTTTTAATGCTAAAAAAGTATTTATACCTAACTAGTATCTTCTGCTTAGATAGGAATGCAAAATTGAACAATGTAAAAAATGGAATTCACAGGCACAGATATTAATGGGTTAGTTATTTCATGTCTTCTAAGGACATTTCTATATGAGCAATAAAGTGAAAAATAGAGAAAAAGAGTTCATATTCCAAGAAATCATTCCTCTTGGACCATGACAACTTTGAACCAAAATATTTTCACAAAATTTCATTTTAATCATCTTCTTTTACAAAGCACAATACTTAAGACTTCTCTAAATACAGCTTTAGAAAATGAAGCAAAAAAATAGTTTCCATAGATGCCTGTTAAAGTCCATGCTGAATGCAAAAGAATTTTTGATTTCAAAAGTGATACTTCCAAGCTTTCCTTGATGAATCCATTTTGCCAAGAGTAAAGATGGTGGCAGTTGGGGCAGAAGCTCAGCCAGTCCCATGACACAGAATCCTCTTGCTGCTTAGCCCAAGGAGCCATAAGGAAGCTGGAGATAGATGGCAACTTCTTTTTACAATCACTAACTCCTCCCCCTCTTTACATGAAGAAAGCCAATGGCCTCTATTGAGGAGAAGACATCAGCCACAGAACATTTCATGTTGCCAATGCCCCATGAGGGTACCTCAACCTTGCCATTTAATTGTCAACAATCTTACTCTGTATACACTTTTGATAAAGCTATATCATTCAGGATTTTCTTGATGTGTAAATGAGAAATTCAAACACCAAAGAATCCAATCTTCATTGTTAGATTAGGTGGTGGGGAATCTCTGAAGGCTTCAAGTGTAATGCAGAAATGCTGAGAACAGTTCAAGGGGTACAGGAATGCTTTGTGCTGCCCTTAGAAACTTGGTGTTTCCAGCCCCATGCATACTGAGGCCAAGGCTGCTGAACAGGCCATACGTCCAACACTTGGGAGCGAAGGGTACAAAGCTCCTTACACACTCCCTTTCCCTTAACTGTAAATATTCGTAGGAAAGAAGGGAGGAGTATGCAGGCAAGAGCAAGGCAGGGGGAGGGAGAGAGGAAGAGAAAGGAAGAGACACTTGTTTTATTTTCAAGGATGAATAATGTGATTTTTTTTTTTTGCATCATTCCTTTAGTGATATCGATTCTCATTCTTCGTAGTTGTGCAAATCTATGACATTGTTTTAGTAGTTTCACTATAAAATGCAGGAAATAGACAAAGCAGCTGCTTAGAAACACATCAGACATTGTTGGGCCATTTAAGGGACCAGCCCCTCTACCTCTAACCCCTGAACAATCTTGCAATAAGGTATGCCCCGTATTTTTCAGCAGAGGATGAGAAAAGTTACATAATCGAAGGCTGAACTGTTTCAGGTGCTACAAAGATAAATCAGACAAGCAAACATCAATTCCCTCTGGAAGGGAAAAAAAAAAAAGCAATTCCATGAATGCAAGGAAGATCCATTGGCTGCACTTCAACAAGACCCTCGTCCCATTCACGTGGACCGAGGAAGAGATTGCAATGAGCAAGGCAAAATGACATTGTGTGAATACACTTTAAACAATAATACACAAGGATTACCCAGTGCAGGAAATAATACAACTCCCCCCCCCCCCCAGTTTTCATTTGCATTTGAACTTTTATTTAGCTTTGCTTTAATAATGCAGATGCTGTTCGCGAAAAAGGCGCGCAAGAGGACAGGAAGCAGGAACTTAACTTGGCGGATGAAAAATAAAACCAAGCAGGGATGACATTTTTCATTTCATGAACAACCTACAAGTAGGAGAAACTGAAAAGTCAATGGTGGTACCACGGAGTACACGCCTGACCTCTCCGTTGTCTCCTCTTAGGACCTTTGGCTAGCGTGAGAGAAACTGTGAAGACAGTGGCCTCTAGTGGACTTGGATAAGTGGTAGATTTTCCATTTCTTTCTTTATTTGTTGAATCATGGTAGCTGCATCACAAAAACTCCAATCAAGAGGGTGGTAAAAAGAAGGCACAGATCATTGCAAATACCAGATTTCTCTCTCTCTTTCTCTCTGTCTCTTTCTCTCTCTCTCTCTCTCTCTGTCTCTCTCTCTCTCTCTTTTGTAAATATACCATCATATATAAGCTAAAATTTCTCTTAGAGTGGTGGTCTGTTGGCAGGGGAAGGGAGGGTTGGACCTAAAATTGCATATGTAATAGAATCCTAAAGGGAACACAAAGCCAGGCAGCTTTCTGCCTGAAGCAGAAGACTAAGACTCTCGCTTCTGACTAGGTGTAATACAAACGCTAGGGGCTTCTGTGACAAAACACGGTTAAAAAAATCATAAAATTATAAAGCTTGTAAAGAATAATCTGAAATTACATTTTATTAATGGAAAATATCATCAAAATAGTACCACTATGGACTAAACTGCCTGAGTTTTCGTTTCATATGAGATCTCAAGGTAGAAAAGCCTTTAGCACAATTTACTCTAAGTCACAACCAGTGCCAGACCCAGGCCGAAACCATGGGGAAAGATTCTCCTCTTGGATGGAATTTGTGTTGTGCTATCAAGACTTTTTGTGCTAATCTTTTAAACAGGGACATGTGGCAAATCTGTAACCTTTTGGCACAGGATTTATTTTGGCTGGGGCAGAAAATTTGAGTCTTGGACTCATGATGAAAAAATGCAAAATCTCATTTATCAAGTGTTCACTTTGATTGAAGAGCTTTCTTTATTTCATTCACTTCCATCTATAAAGGGAAAAAAAAGAATCAAACAAAATCATAACAAATTAGCTGGTTTTCGAGAAGCTGAAAGGTAACCAACTTGGTTAATGGAAAGAAAGTACTTAACCTGACTACTTTAGAGGTGCAAAGATCATCTGAATAAACAATCAGTAACAATGCCTCAAATGACAGAAGCCTAAAGACCAGGCACAATGGACTAGGAAATGATGTCTGGATTCTCAGACTCCTAGGAGTCTCAAATTGTCAGTAGCAGAAAAATTTCCGTTTCCTAGCCAGAAAGCAGAATCTGTGGTCCTGACACACTGGACCATCTGACAGTGTGGTAAGGCAGTTGTTGTTGGCCAAACAGTGTGTATGTCAGCACCACTGAGGTGATGGTGAGTACTGCATATCCTCACTTGGCCAGGAAGGGTATCAAATTGGATAAAAGCCAATCTGCCTGTGGCCAGTTGGAATCCTCCTCGCTACTTTCCACCATTTGCTCATAGGAGAGTTGGACCAGAGGCTGGAGTAAGGGACAGAGCTCAGATGATCTGGCAATACTAATATGGCCATCAGGAAAACGATGACAAACACCAAGTGTAGACACAGCTGTGGTCCTTGGGAGTCCCAATACTAAATGACTGAAACCAACTGGCAGCAGGGTCTTCCCAATACCACAAACTCGGCAGTTGTTATAATGAAGCTTCTGAAAACTGGAGGAACATTTTTATAGAAGAGATGCCTAAAAATAAATTCCAAATGAGAAGCCCAATTGCTGGCGGGGGGGAGGGGGGAGAGGATGGGGGAGAGGGCATGTTTACTAATTTTTTTCCTACCCCAAGGCCTTTGAAGCCCAGGAAAGGATGGGTAGATTAAGCCTTTGCAATTCTAAGAAAATTGCCACTTACAGTGTATTTAAATCTACAGAGAAGCAACAATTATTCACTTTCAAAATTAAAGCCCCGACATTGCTTCTACCCTGGAGTGAGCAGGGGCTTCGTGGGCAGAGGAGCCCTGAGGGACTGACCTGCAAACGAAGGCGGATTTTCTTCTCTTCGTCCAACTCAGACAGCAGCTGCTTAATCTCCCGTCTGGAAAGCAAAGGACAATACAATCAAATTGAAGCACAGACTTCCCTGGGAAGATGTAGGAAACCTCTTTTTCTTACTACAAAATCCACCTGCCCCCTTTTACAAAGAAAATGTGAACCCGCGTTACTTCTTGCATCGACAGTCCTTCAGATGGATTTCAGACAGAAAGGCTTGCCATTGTTTTGGGACTACTGAAATAGGTAGCAATGATCTTTGAGACCTTTCAGCTATGTTTCTCACAAAAGAAACAGCTGGAGACATTGAGGCCTGGAATTGTGGCTTAACTTGTTCAAAGACTGGACACCAGGCACCTAGACCATATTCTGACATAGCTCCATCTCTGTCACACGTATATACAGAATAATTTTCATTGCCGACATTTTTCTCCATTTCCAAAGCAAACATGAGTTAGAACTACTTTTTACAACTTTCAAGAATGAAGTAGAGCAAGGAAAGGGGTGACATTGTCCAAAAAGAAATATACTCTTTACCTGACTTACGTAACCATAATCCCAATATATATCACCTTTAGAATAACAATAAATTTTTTTAAAAGAATGAGAGGCATAGCCTCTCAAGAATGACTTTTTCCAGAAAGAGCTAACTGATCTCTAAACTCTCTGAGTCTCAGTTGCTTTAGGAAAGTGCTGCCTACATTTCATCTTCTACCACTTTATCTTTGCAGACAACATCCTGGGTGATATAGATGTATGATGCCTAGTTTTGCTCACAGGTCTTTCTTCCCATTCAAGTGCTCCCTGAGGATGAGAGATATGGTAAGAACATGTGTATAGGCATGCACAGAGAAAGCCCTCGAGTCTCTCACAGTGAGAATAGCTTGCTGAGAGTAAAGTCTAGGGCTTAAAGATCCAATACATCTTTTCATATATTATAGCCCCTCGATGCAAGCCAATTATTTCATCTGACAGCCAAATGAAGTTGTCATGTTTTCTGATGCTAGAAGGAAAGCTATTGGCTTAAAAGGCAGTAGACATGGCACAAGTGATAGAGTACTAGCTAGTTAGTAGGAGGCTGTGGGTACCTCCCAAAGATACAACATATGAAGACAGGTATGATGTGCATGTACCTGTAATCCGGCAGGAGGATCATAAGTTCAAAGCTAGTGGGGACTATATAGAAAGACATTGTCTCCAAAAAAAAAAAAAAAAAAAAAAATGGTATAGGTACTGTCTGGATCTTGAATGTTCCCCAAATGCTCATGTGTTAAAAGACTTGGCCAGCAGGTGGTGCTGTGGGAGGCTGTGAACCTTGAGGAGGTAGGGCCTGGTAGTAGGAAGTTAGGTCACTAGACCAGTGTTTTTTTAAAGAAATACTGAGCTGGGCATCCATGAGTCATGCCTATAAGCCTAGCTATGTAGGATGCTCAGCGCTAAGGATTGTGGGCAGAAAAATGCAGGTGACTCTATTTCCAATTAACTGCACAGTAAAAAGCTGGACTGATGATATGGCTCAAGGGGTGGCACATCAACTGTGAGCAAAAAAGCCAAGTGAGAAGGGGAGGCCCTGGGTTCACACCTCTAGAACTGGCAAAAGAAACAACAACAACAAAATTGAGGTCAGGTTGCTTGGCTGCCATTTCCTCCACAACACAAAGGCAATGGAGCCAAACATCTAGGGACTAAAACCATGTGCCCAACTATACCTTTTCTCCTTCAGAAGTTGATTCTCTCAAGTATTTCCCCCAGGGATGGGAAGCTGAGTAGTGCAGAAATATTATAGGCTATCTGGGAGCTCAAGACGTTTCTCTATAGCAGCTTGTTGAGAATGTCAGTCTATGCAACTGACTATGGCCAGCTTGAGCTCTTCTTGTACACAGTAAGCAGAGCATTAACACGCATAGCGCCATGCATGTATAAATGAGCCTCCTGTGGTCCCTACCAGTTTTCACTACTGCTGCCACCAGCCATGAGGAGGCCTGCCCACATTCTAGGGGCAGAGTGGAACCCAGGCTTTCCAAACCAGGCCCCTGGCCCAGTGGTGAGTTCCTTAGAGACAACTGCAAAGGGTTTCTGGGCACTCACTTCTGCTGGTCCTTCATGGTCTCGATGATGGTCCTCAGCTCACGGACCTGTGTCCGAAGCTCCTCCACAGCCGCCTGGCCACTGGCTATCGGCTCCATCTTTGGTTTTCCTTCCATGCTGAACAGAGATGGGGAATTGGCTCGGTGTCCAGGTGCTCCCAAAGAAGATGACAGAGGGACCGAAGCCAGCGAAGTGAGAGAGGCAGGGCCGCTGCCTGCTGCCATGCTCCCTGGCTTGGGTGGCAGCGATGCCTTGTTGTCAGACACCTGTGGCAAGGGAAAGTGGGCGGGCTTCAGAGTAAGGGAGTCAGGTGAGTCAGGTCTTCCTTTGACATCATCCAGGTACCTCTCTGCACACATCCCATTCACGCATCCCTTCATTCACAAGCCACCAAGGCCAATGCGCTGCAAAGCAGTCCCCTGCTCAAGTGTGATCTGTAGGTATTTGAAATGTGGCTTTCTGTCTGGATAGACAGTCGTGATTGGTGTCTGATACACACAGAGATTCCCAACTGCTTGCCCAGATACCACAAACTCTGAAGTGAGCAAGACAGTCGCCTGGCTCGTAGGAGCGCAGAACCCAGTGGGGAGCAGACTGACGGACAAACCGACACATTGCTGCAGAGGAGGAAGACTGAACAAGAGGGAGGAAGCACAGGAAGCCCCGGAAACAGGCCAGACAGGCAACAATCCTGGACGGAGCAGTGGACTGACAGCCCCATCTTGGAGGGGGGTGAGCAGAGGAGAGGACTGCAAGACTGTGGAGCAGAGAAGCTGTAGGAGGAGGGAAGGCCCTCGGTAAAGGCCAAGACACCAGGAAGCAAAACATATTAGTGGAAGACATGGCTAGGAAGGCCACCGGTTGCAGGAGAAAGCTTGGGAAGGGAGGGTAAGGATGAGATGATTGCATGACAGAGCTGCTGGGAGAGCCACACAATGGAAGCCAGAAACTGTGAGGCGGTGGCCAAGATGGTAGAGAGTCATGGTGAAGGTAAGCACATCTAACCAAAAAAAATCAACAAACAAAACAAAAAACCATGGGGTGGGAAGTTAAGCAGGGCTGATGGAGTCTGCTTTACAGAACTCACACTCCACAGCCATGGAGAGGAGGTCCTGGTCAGGCAGGCTGTAAAGGAAGAATAGATCCTATTTCATTTTAGGAGCCGGAGGGATGGCAGAAGGGACGTATTTAACTGGGCAGAGCCAGCAAATAAATGAGAGAGAGCTTGGCTAATGGAAATGGAGGCTGTGCATGTGACTAAGACAGCAGGAGAAGAAAAGAGGCCCAGTGATGGAATGTGGAGATTTCCCAAAACAGAAGAGATAAGGAGAGAAAGAGAGCAAGCTCTAGACCGTGGGGAAGAAGTAGTGAGAAGGGATAAAGCAAGACAGTAGAGAGGTGGTGGCTTATGGAAGCTCCCTAGAGAAGTTTTTTTGTTGTTGTTGTTGTTTTCTGGTTGTGGGGCTTGAACTCTGGGCTTGGGTACTGTCCTTGAGCTCTTCAGCTCAAGGTGAGCACTCTACCACTTGAGCCACAGCACCACTTCTAGTTTTCTAGTGGTTTATTGGAGATAAGAGTCTCCTGGACTTTGCTGTCTGGGCTGGCTTTGAACCACGATCCTCAGATCTCAGCCTCCTGAGTAGCTAGGATTACAGGAGTGAACCACTGGTGCCCGGCTCCTAAAAAAGATTAAGAATGCCAAAAAGAAAAAAAAAAGGAGATTCTATTTGGTAGTGCAGGGGAGGCAGAAACCCACTGGCAGCAGATCCGTTTCTGAAGGGAATGGTGAGAGGTGGAGCTTTCCCAAAACTTGGCTGAGGAAGGAAGATGGAGGATGAATAGAAGCCTCAGGAGACGACAGAATCATGGGTTTGGTCTGCTTTTAGAGTTGGAGGACACACAGAGCTGCATGAAACTGTAAAGCAGCAAGTCACTGGAGAGCCAGTGTGATGATGGTGAAGACAGGCAGGAGAGGCCTGAAGAAGTGACCTGAGGAAGCCAGAAAGAAACAGGCTGTAGGGTAGTATGGGGTGGGAAGGCAGAAGGATAGGTACCTAGCAGGCCCAGAGAGGAGACAGTAGCAAGGCAAATGAGTTGGTGGGCAGGTGGTGAGAAGGCAAAGTAGTGAGCTAGGACGCCGAGAGGTGATAGGGTGGAGACTGAGGCTGATGGTGACACTTGGCACCGTAGCCCCAGGACTTCCTCCAGCAGTGGGCGCTCAGCCGGCCATCCCAAGACAGGTGCCAAGAAAGGGCTTGGCTGGCATGACAATGAGGAAGGAGAGTCTGGATTCAGGCTGTGCTAGAGGCAGAGACAGGCTGAGGGAGCCAAAAGCAGATGGGCCATCGTTCCCAGCCTCTCTGTTCGCCTTTTCTCTGCCAAGTTACCATTGAGGAAAAGTATTCTTGGCTGCCAGGGAGAGCGCTCCGCCAGCCTGGGCTTTGTTGTTAGTAGGAGTTATAGTACGAGAGAAGAGGAAATGACATTTATGGAGCGCTGATCGCATGCTGGACGTCAGCGCTACCATTTAAACTGGGATCAACTGGCACAGGCATTTTACCAAGCAGGAAACAGGCGTAGAGAGCTGGTTGGATAACTCCTCATGTCTCTTCGCTAATCATGGGGCAGGATGAAGATGCAAACCTCTCACTATCAGCTGATCTGGAGACCAGCACCATAACTGTGGCTACCTGAGTCTGCAGAATTGTTCTCTCCTGTTATTTTCTTTTCTGATTATCCACTCCTGGGCTCATTCTTGCTTCCATTTCCCACCCTGTGTCCTTTCCTAACTCTCACGGCCCGCCAAGGCCCTTAACACTGATCGACACTGCTGCTGCTGCAATCAATGCTTCATTTGGCATTTCCAGTATGACTGGCATTCCCAGCCCATTTCAGCTAACAAATACTTTTTTAATCCCTCACAGAGTATAGGTCACCACACTCTCTGATCAAATTAGCTCAAGTGGAATTTCTAGAAGCAGTGAAAAATACAACCTGACAACTCCAGGGAAGTGAAATAGGCTAATGGAATAGAACTGTGCAAATCAGAAACATGAAAAGCCATTGTCCACCAGTAGATGTCACTGTAGAGACACCCTAAGGATGTCAAAGAAAAGGAAACTTGGTATGTCTATTGTGTGTGTGTGGGGGGGGGGGGGGAGGTGGGAAGCAGTCTAAATCCAATCTCAGTAAATGGAATCCTTTATAAAGAAAGAAGGCTTTGGTTTTGTGGATAATTAAAATTGATTTGTTTTATAGGATCATGTTTTGCTTACTATATCAGATTTTTAAGAAAAATCTATACTTGTAAATTCTTTAATCTGTGAAGAAGAAAAATCTCACCCAATCTTTGACTTGTTTATGGTAATTCCTGCTTCAAATGACTACAGTTTCTGCTTTGAGATAGAAAAAAGTTGCTAATGTTCTGTGAAAATAACTCTGATTGGATTTTCCTAATATGAGAAAATGGAATTTTAGAATGTTGGTTTATTTATAGAAAGCACAGAACTTGTATAAGATGCTTTCTCTTTAGAAGTTAGTTGCATGCAGCTGGGTATGGTGGTATATGCCTTAGTTCCAACTACAAGGGAGGTGAAGATAGGAGGGATTGCAGTTTGAGGCTGTCCTGACTAAAAAAAAAAAAAAAAGACCCTCTGTCTCAAAAAAAAAACACTAAAAACCCCAGAAAACAAACAAACAAAAAAACCTAAGCTGGACATGGAGGTTCACATCTGTAACCCCAGCTTTCAGGAGGCAGAGGAAAAGGTTATCACAATCCATGTCTGATTTGGCATAAACATAAGACCTTATTTAGAAAATAAAGCAAAAACAGTTGGAGGCATGGTTCAAGTGGCAGAGCACTTGTCTCACAAGCATGAAGGCCTGAGTTCAAACGCTAATATCACCAAAAAAATTAAAGGCAGTAAATAATTCTTTCTTCCATTCTTTCTTTCTTTTGTCTCTTCTCTTTCTCTCTTCTTTTCCTTTTCTTTCTTTTATCTTTCTTTCATCTCTCCATCATTCCTTTCCCCTTCCTTACTTCCTCCCTTCCTTCCCTCGTTCCTTCTTTCATTCCTTCCTACCATCCTTCGTTCCTTCGTTCCTTCCTTCCCTCCTTCCTACCATCCTTTCCCTGGAACCAAGGCCTTGTGCATGCTAGGCAAATGCTGTACCAGTAAGCATCCCTCTTTCTTTTCTTTTCTTTTTTGTTTTTTTTTTTTTGAGATGGAGTCTGTTGGCCAGGATGATCTTGAACTCCTAAGGACAAAAGATCCTCTTCTTTCAGCCTACATAGTATCTGGGGTTAGAGGCATGTGCTACTGTGACCAGTAATGTTTCTTTTCTCACAAATAAAATAGCTGTACCATTCCCTAGGCATGCAATGGAATTAAAATGCTTTAGACTACAAATGTATCCTAGAATATGAATCCAAATTACCATTTAAGAGACCTATATTAGTTATATATATTTATGATCGTTCAATGATAACTTTTTGCTAGCTTTGAACATAAAAGACAAGATCTGTGAGGTGAGGGCATAGCATTTAAAAGAGTTAATGTTGTCTCTCTAGATACTCAAGGCTTTGTAAGTTGTTTTACTCACACTAGTGGTATGTATGGGCACTGATGCAAGTGTGTGCCATGGTGTGATGAGGAGATCCAACCACAAGAATCACAGAGCATAAACAACTGAACTTGTAGCTCAGGGATTCTGCTTGTGTTTGGAGACTCTGCAACGTGCCTTGGGGCTTTTGATCTCTGTCACTAAAGAATGAAAACACCTGCATTTTCTGTTCATCCCTGATTGGTTTAAAACCCGTCTTCAGTGTAGCACATGCATGGAAGGGTAGGGACACCTCACCCTGGCTGGTCACTCACTTGGGATATGGTAACAGTCTTTGCAGTCTTCTTTGACACGTCTACTCCTCTGTGCGAAAGCGAAATGTGTTCCTCCTTATCTTCTTCGGGACTTGGGGAGTCAAAGATATCAGGGCTTGAAAGGGAAGACTGGATAAAGCCAAAAGAAAATGCTTTTGTCAGAATCATACCTTGGCTGACACAGCTGTTTATGATGCTGTTTGGTTTTCAAAGTGCTGGATGCTACTCAAATTTTGTCTCTCTCTCCTTACAACAGCGATGTAAGGCAGAAAGTAAGACCTGTGGACTAGAGACAGTCACCTAGCTAGTTTGTGGCAGGACTGGATCTCAGAAGCTAAGTTTCCTGAAGCAGGGAATCTTTGTCCTGATGTTTATCCGTCATGTCATCGGTGCAATCATCCATCAATGTCCATCTTTTCCTATTCCCTCCCTCCTGTCTCCAAACATTCGTTGCTATGTGCCTAGCATTGAGGTTAGTACTATAGACTTCATGATGCTGATGGCATGCTCCCTGTGGTCTCTGCCCTGCTGGGGCTGGCAGTGTGATGGGAGGACACATAGTCAGGAGTCTGCCTCTCATTCTCTTCTCCTCTATCCTCAGCTCATCCTTTTCCTTGACCCTTCTCTAGGATCACCAAATCTGTGCACAAAGTGCCTTAAAGGCTGTGCTTGAGAAGAGAGGCAAGGGAACACCAGGCCTGTCTAAGAGCACAGCCCTGTGCACTAGACACAGTACAAAGGAGAAATCCTTTGGTACCTGAGGCTGAATTTCTGCCCCCATTACTGGGGACAGCCAACATCCAACATCATTACAGAATGGCAATATCCTTTGAGCAAGATGCCCTTTTGTGTTTGCTGGTGCTGGAGCTTGAACTCAGGGCTTGGGCATTGTCCCGAGCTTGTTTTGCTCAAGGTTAGTGCTCTACCACTTGAGCCACAGCTCCACTTTCAGCCTTTCCTTTCTTTAGTAGTTACTTGGAGAGAAAAGTCTCATGGACTTTCCTGTCCTGGCTGGCTCTGAACCGCAATGCCCAAGAAGCTAGGATTTCAGGCATGAGCCACAGGAGGCCAAAGGTAGCTTTTCTTCACTGTGAAGATAGTTATGAAAATTAAAAAGCTGGATGAATGGGGAAGGAATTCACCAGGATTCACTTGGTCAGAAATGATTTCTGAGCTAGAATTTCCCTAGTTAAGAACAAAGCAAATGAAATGAGGGGTAGGTGTCATACAGTAAGGAATCTGTGGGTTGTTTTTTTTTTTTTGGTCAGTCGTGGGGTTTGAACTCCAGGCCTGGGTGCTGTCCCTCAGCATTTCAGCTCAAAGTGAGCACTCTATCACTTGAGCCACAGCACCATTTCTGGTTTTCTGGTGGTTAATTGGAGATAAGAGTCTCACAGACTTTCCTGTCCAGGCTGGCTTTGAACCACAATCCTCAGATCTCAGCCTCCTGAGTAGCTAGGATTACAGGTGTGGAGCCACCAGTGCCCGGTGTAGGAATCTGTTTTAAATGAAGAACCTTCAAGGGATTTGTTGAGATGAGCTCATATTTAACCCCACCATTATGACAGAAAAATAGTTCTTGTCAGAATCACCATTTGATATCATTAAGAAAATATTACATCCAGAACATTAGTTATCTTCCGTTTATTTTATTTACTAAGGCAGAAAGTTAATTTTCAAGCAAAACTTTTGCTTTAAAAGGTCTTATTTGTTAATCTTCATTTAATCTGAAAATCCAATTACATATAAATAACTCCCCCCTAACCACCAAGCTTTCTTATTAATCTAGGCTTAACTGCTTAACCACCATGCAATGCCTGGATCCTTTCATTTTGAGATTTTATTCAAAAAGCCGGTTTCCTCCTCAACAACCTATGTTGCATGAGCTGCCAATCAAAGCTTGCTCTCTGAATCCTATAAACATAAATAGCTTCAATTAGAATGACTGGCCCCAGGCTCTGGAATCATAACTGGCGTTTCCTCAATCATTCACCACCAGTGGCCTTTTAGGAATATGTCCTTATCCACGAATCCTATTTGCTATGAAACCCCTACAGGTGCTAACTTTGACAAGAGTAAACAGGAATTCAGTACACACATCCAAATGGGGAAGGATGAGAAAGAAGGGGAGACAGTATGGCCATCACACTACAGGAAAGCACTACTATATCCTGTTTGTCTGATCTGCAAACAAAATCACTCCCTGTAAACTGCCAAACCCTAAGCCACTGAACCATAAGCTTCCTGCAGGCGGTGACCACGTACTTCTCATTCCCAGCTGTGTCCTTTGTACCTGGCACACCGTGTCCAGTCCACAGGAGACAGATGTCTATAAATATCTGTTGAACAAGTGAATCCATAACTGGGTAGTTTAAAAGCACGGTGAAGATGGGATGCCTTTCCTTGATTCCCGCCCCGCCCCCCAAATGCACACAGACTCCTAAGCAAGGGATACATGGAGCAAGGAGGGAGATAATTTGAACTATATTTAATTCTGAAAGCCAAAAGGTCCTCCTGACTTTTTAAAAAAATGTGGATTTTGGAAAGAAAACAAAAACAGTGAAGGATTTAGACAGAAGATGTTAAGAGGTAGGATTGAGAAACTGGAATGCAGAGATGCTAAGGAACGATCCAGAGGTTGTATGTATGTGCATGCTGGGATGGGCTGTGGAGAAGGGAAGGGAGAGGGGAAAGAATGCAGTGCTGCCACAGAATGCTATAGAGGAGTGAAAAAGGAAGCCACTTTTTCAAGTCTTTCTCTCAAAAGGTGCCAACACAGTTAGGTTTGGTTCGTACAAAGCAGAAAAATTTCATCCAAAAATTTAAGCCATACTTCCTGACCCAGCAGATGCGAGAGAAGAGGCTCAAAGGAAGTAGCATTCTTTTTTTTTCTTAAATATGGTAACAGTTCAGGTGGGATTAATGACGAAGTAAAAAGAGCAAATGTCCTGGAAAAGAGAAAACTATAGCAGGTTAATTCCTTAGTGTATCTGGGTGGAGGCTGTAAGGCAATGTGAGATATACACATATCTATGCATATATTGTACATATACACACACATATATGCATACACACATATATGCATACACATTTACATATATACATACATGCATACACATGTATATATGTATATATACATATAAACATATAGAGAAAGGGAGATAGACATATGCAGACACACAGATGGTAGGTAGATAGATAGAATGAACAAATGAACACATGTACTGCTTGTAGTAGATAAATTTAACCTTTGTGAAGGGCAAGTTTGCAATCTGTGGTGAAAACAAATGCACATTTCCCTTCATACCTAAGAGAATAATTTTTCAGCAGCATCAATATTTTTCTACAGTGACATTCACTTGAGTGTTGTTTAGAAAGAACTGGAAACAACATAAATATGCAATAATAATACACTCGTTAGGTACTCTCATATACTCACGTGTTAGAAGAGTCGGCATCCATTAGATGTGCTGTCCTGAAAAAATGAGTAACGACTGGGAAGAAAGGTGTGCAGTATAAAGAAGGACAAGCAAGTTCCAAAACCATGTGATCCTGATTTTGAAGAAATACATATGTGCGTACAAATCCAAAAGAATTCTAAATAGAAGGATATCTAGCAAGAGGCTAGTAGTTCTTTGCTTTGGGGCAGGATTACAGCTAATACATTTTCTTCTTTATGCATTGTGTTCAAATTTGGTACGATGAATGTGTAACAGATTTACAATTAGAGATTATTCCAACAACAAACAAACAAACAAACTTGGACAGGTTATCATGGATGTTTGATTGGTCTCTTCTACGTGACCAGCTGCTTCATAACATTAAAACCAACCTCTGGAAGGCCTGTGTGGGGTTCCAAAGAAGGGTACAGTGATGGGATTTGGGGAAATAAATCTGCTGTACAGTAGAAGATTTAGCAAAGCTTTGTCTTGTTTATAGACCAAACCAGACTTACTCTCCTTTCTCCAATATAATTTGCAACATTTTTTCCCTTACCAATTTCATTTCAGATTCAAACAAGAAGGGATCTAGGAGAGAGAATGAAGGTAGAAACAGGAAATGCCATCTTATTGACAGAATCACACAGAACAAGTAGAAAGAAATACTGCCTGATTCAAGAGGACGCTCTAATCACTTTTAGCTGGCAGTGTAGGCCCTAGCATCCATCTCCTGGTATCAGCAATCAGCCACTTGCAGAAGAGTCCTTAGGTTGAATCACCAGGCATTCTTGCCTTGCAGCTGTACAAATGTGAGAACACACTTACAGAGGTGAGCGACTGGGATGGAGGGCGTCTTCCGGTAGCTTTTGGTCGGCTTGTGGTGGGGTGACTCAGTTTCTCAGTAGATGACACCACAGAGTCAAAACCTTCTAGGTCTAAAACAAAACAATACGATTTTTAAGAACAAGAAAAGATTAATATATTCTAAGCACCTCGTTTTCCTTACTAATCACACTTTCTACCCAAATTATGCTCCATCTTTTCCAAAGTCCATTTATACCCTTGGGTCATTTAATAAAGGTGATTCAAGCTGACTAAGACTATCATTTCATCCTCTGTTTAACATGCTAGCTAGTAGGAGAGAGAAATAATACTTTTTGCTTTCCCTTCAATGGGTATATTCATACATCTTTAAAAAGCCATGGGAATTCTTTATAAGTCCAAGTCCACTTCAGTAGACAGAACATTCCAGAACATTCTTTTTTTTTTGTCAGTTGTGGGGCCTGAACTTTGGGCTCGGACACTGTCCCTCAGCTCTTCAGCTCAAGGCTGAAGCGCCACTTTCAAGCATTTTCTGTTTATGTGGTGTGGAGGAATCGAACCCAGAGCCTCATGCCTGCAAAGCAAGCATTCTACCACTGAGCCACCTTCCCAGCCCAGATCATGTTCTTCTTTAAAAATTTTATTTGATTGTAAAGATGCTGTACAGAGGGGAAAGAACATTCTTGCAGTCTCAAGGTAAAATGCAGTTGTCACAATTCCAACAGCAGGGGCAGGTGAATGCAGATCAGCCATTAATTCTAACAGCCAAGAAGAGCCAGCCAGCCAGCTCCTCCTCTGCTTTCACCACAATAATCTGGCCATCAGCTGTTGTCCTAATGTTAGACTAAACTCCCTAGAGAAGAGCACGCCTTTCCACACAACCCACAGAGCCTGACCCCACTGCTTTGAGAGTCATCGTTCATTGCGGATGCTATCTTCAGCAGGCATCGGTCTGTTCATTCCCTCACCCAGAGCACTCAGTGCTGAGATGATACCAACAAACACCATGAGCCCTGCTCTGAGAGTGCTTCCATCCCAGTGCCTAATGTTGTAAGGAACACAGAACAACAAACAAACAAAAACTGTATTACATGCTCAATGAATTTTGCATTCTGCTTATTTCTCTTAATCCTATATGTCATATTTCTAAACATGCCCCTTTTCTGATTTGATACTGGCGTTTGAAATCTGCCTCGTGCTTGCTACAGAGGAACTCTATTACTTGAGCCAGGCTCATCTGCCCTTTCTGCTTTAGTTATTTTTTGGATAGTGTCTCATTCTTTTGCTTGGGCCTGTCTGGACCTTGATCCTCCTATATATGCCACGGCTCCCCCCCCCCCCTGCCCCTGCATAGCTGGGACAGACAGACACTCACCACCACACCCTGGGCTGGCCTTGAACCATGATCATCCCACTTCTAGAGTACCTTGGGTTCCAGGGATAAGCCACAGCACTTGGCCTAAACATTCTTCATAAATATTTTGTATAATCATCTATGGTACAGAAATTTATCTTTGTTTATTCAATCCTCTACTGTTGAATAATGAGTCTCTATGTCATTCTCTCACCTATTTTTTGTGCCAGTATGGGGCTTGAACCTCAAGGCCTAGGCGCTGTCCCTAAGCTTTTGTGCTCAAGGCTAGTGCTCTACCACTTGAGTCACAGCTTTTCTTTGGGATTTTTTTGGAAGCTATAGAACATAACAGTCTCACGGACTTTTCTGTGCAGGCTGGCTTTGAACTGTGATCCTCAGATCTCAGTCTCCTGAGTAGCTAAGATTATAGGCATGAGCCACCAGCACCCAGCTCCCACCTATTTTTTTCTATTATAGAAATGTGACACACAATGCTGGAGGTATGTCTCAAGTGGTAGATTGCCTGTCTAAAAAGTATAAGGCTCTGAGTTCAAACCCCAGTATCGCCAATGAAAAGTTATCCACACATGTCTTTGACTGCTCTGGGAAAAGGAGTAAGGCCCAGGACAGGGCTTGCTGGTGAGGGTGAGTTGGTAGGGGCACGCAATATAAAAGAGCAGTTGAACACTGGGTGCCAGTGGCTCATGCCAATCCTAGCTACTCAGGAGGCTGAGATTGGAAGATTATGGTTCAGAGCTAGCCTGGGCAAGAAAGTCCGTGAGAATCTTATCTCCAATAAACCACTAGAAAACCGGAAGTGGCACCGTGGCTCAAAGAGTGCTCACCTTGGGCTGAAGAGCACAGGGACAGCGCCCAAGCCTAGAGTTCAAGCCCCATGACCGAGAAAAAAAAAAAAAAGAGCAGATGAAGCCTAGGTACAAAGAGAGGACACAAAACTGAGGAGATGTTGTACAGCCAGGCAGCCAGGCAATCAGGTAGCCAGGGGAGGAGGTGGAAGAGAAGACTGTTGTAAGTTCCAGAAAACAGACCATTGCCAGGAGCCTTGGTGGGGAGTTCCTGGGACTGAGCTGGATTAATTTATATCCTTGCCCTTCCAGGAAGCTAAAATAGTCTCTGGAGGCAAAATTTGATGAAAAGTTAGTATTCAGGAGTCTGAGACTTGGATGATCATAGTTCAAAGCCAGTGTGGGCAGTAAAGTCCATCGAAACTCCATCTCCAAAACTCTAAGCCAATAGCCAGGGTGGAGGTATGGCTCAAGCAGTAGAATACCAGCCAAGCAAGCAAGAGGTCCTGAGTTCAAACCCTCATACCCACCAAAAATAGTTAATGACTTATGAACTCTGGTTCTCTACCTGTGACTGCAGAATAGACTCAACTTGAACAATAACAAAAATAATACCCTGGAACTAGCTCAACTGGTCTGGGGTGCAGCCTCCCCGGGTGATATGGCCACACAATCCAGAGTGAGAAGCTGTACTCTAGCAGATGCTGGGAACTTGAAGGAGGGAGGGACTAGACCCAGTGGAGTGGAGATCAGAGGCCAGTCGGTGAACAGTGGAGTGTTTACGATGTGCTCACGGAGTGCAAGCCGGGCAAGGCAAATTCAGGGAATACATCTTATGAGTAGCGTACATCCTCCAATCCCAGGCTGAGAGATGCTGGTCTTATTTGGACGGGGATGGGGAAGGCAATAAAGGTGCCAGAATGCTTGATGGAAATGATGGCCAAAGACCTGGTAGCTGATGATGAGGCGGCTTGGGAGACGAGGTGGTGGCAGAAGGGAGCCAGCACGTAGAGTAGAATGGGAGAGGGGTGCTAGAGCCAGGAGTACAGATGGGCTGGGCTCAGCATGTCCACTGGCATATAGACATGGCTGAGGCCACATCAAGAAACTTCTGCTGTCACTCTAGGCAAAACATGATCTTCACATGGACCTCCCCTACTCTTCAGCCCACTGCAACAAGTCTACCTGGGAGCTCACGATGTGATAACCTTTGAGATGGTGGCCTGTGGTGACTTCTGCTTTCAGACTAAGGCATGGTATGCGATTTCCATTTAGTCTAAGAGGGAAGGAACTGGTCTCTGTATGCTCTACCGCATTCATTCCTGGGGTAGAGGGAAACAGGGTTGATATTTTGTCAAGGAAAGAGGGAGCAAATCAATGAACATACTATCTCAAGGGAAAATGAGTCCAGGCATGTGGCTTAAAGAGGTGGCTCCTAGCAGGGACATGAGGTGGCAGCTGCAGGGCTGAAGGCAGAATTCTGTGCCAAGGCAGCAAGGGAAGCTTGGCTGGCCCACTTAGCGCTATTGGCTGAGGTTTGTACTCAAAAGACCTGCGCACTCAGAAGCCTGGCCATACTCAGCAAGCATCCACAACAGATGGCGGACAAGACTGCCTCATTTCTGTCACTCACGAGTAAGAGGAGGCTCAGTCCCTCTGGGGGGAGCCACTCTTCGCTTCTTAATGCACACATCCGGCAAGTTTAACTTTCAGCAGTTTTAGCTTGGAAAGAGAGCACTATTAGGAAACAGTAATCAAAGTAAGCTGTCACGAAGGAAAAGTTGCTGTAAGGATGAGAAAGGGAACCTTGGGTTCTCCTACTATGTTTCCATGGACAGAGAAGGGAAGTATACTTCTTTCTCACAGCACAGGGTAAACTCTCCAATGCTGTCACATAAGTTTTCAGCGGCTCAGGGCACGCTCCTCATGACTACAGCTCTGGTGGCTGTATTAAGGAAGAATTTCCATGATGAACCCATTGTGGTGTGAAGCATATGTCCCAATGTTCATGGCGGTTTTGAAATGAATCAAACTGAAATGTGATATAAATTTTCTCAGCCTGGCTGGGAATTTTTCCTCCTAGTAGAAAAAGAGTTTTTTGGTTTTTTTTTTTTTAAATGCCTATCAACTAGTCCCAAGCTATTAAACTGGTAAATGGTGGGAGTCGTTTTGCAAAGTCTCATAAGGACAAGAGGCTCTTGGCTTTTGTGACAGTTGGAAGACAAATCCTTCGCGGACATCCGGGCACAGTTCACATTGGACACAATGGAATCAGCGTGGCCAGGGCCCTGCATTGTTCATGGCGCATGGACTTGCCCATTTTCCATGAAATACAGTCACACCCTATTTAGTTTAATTAGAAATGTACCCTCCTTTTCCATGGTTAGGAGGCAGAGTACCAACAGACCACAGGTGACCTAAAGTACATCTGCTAAAAACACAGAGGCGATATGGTTAAAAGTCTGAGACAGGCCAGCTGACACCAGTGGAACTGCTTGGGAGCGTTTAAATAACTGTTTGTTCATGATAGGCCACCGCTCTGGACTTGAAAACAAAAGAATCTTAAAAGGGGAATTCACTACATTTGTAGCCTGGCAACATGGCTACCACCCAGTCCCTTCTGCATTTCCCCTACAGATCATTAGGCTGGAATTTCTTGTGTGGAACCCCAGTGATACACTCCATACCTCAAGGCCTTTACCACGGCACCAATTGCCATCAGAGAATGATATGCCAAGTGGGTGTGTTCTTGCTGCCTAATTCCTTCCCTAGGATGGAGACTTCGTACCCCAACTTGGACCTCTTCCTGTAAGCCAGATCACACCCTAAGGCTTGGGCTGGGTACTTCGACACTTACCTATCACCCTAACCTCAGCATTCATTATAGTCTATTGACATTGCTTGTGGATTTATCTGCCTCACCTACCAAGCCAGGATCTGTTTTCCCAGGTGT